TTTATTATACTTAATATTAAAATAATTTTTAAATGTTCATACAATAATAATAATTTATTAAATTAACTTAAAATTTGTTAAAGACTCCTTATATTAATAAAAATAATAAAAAATACATACGTATAAAACATGAAGGCTATAGGAGTTGGTTATAAATAAGCGTAATTTTTAAAATATATACATCAAACAATAAGAATTGGAACATTACAACTCATCTTTGAGTCATCTTCAGCTTGATACTTCTTAATTCTAACGCCATTAATTTTTATTGTTACGTCGCATCTCAATATTCAATTTCTGTATGTGATCGTCATGGAGCAGACGTGAGACATCGAGTCGTATTCCAACATTAATGAATGTTGTCCAACATCAGAGAGTTTATACGATAAATTTATATTTGTATCATTTACTCATTTACTCATTATATTCATTGCAGTAATGATACTCAAAGAAATGTTTTAAATATAACTTCTTGCACGACAAACATTTTACTACAGCTATATTATTGCAACTTTCGATATCACATGTTAAAGTTTTGTCAAAATTAAATTCTACTGGATTTTCAAATTCTTTTATCTTTCGGTTGTATAACTACTTTTAAAGCACTAATATTTAGATAAGTTATGATATCATAGGGATGACAATCGATTAAGTCTCAAAGATTGTAATTTTATTATATTATTTCATTCATGCAAAATATTACTGTTCTATTGCAAAATAATATTTTAAAATCTTTCAGCAGAATTTTTCTAAATTCTTAATCCGTAAACATCTAATGATTATATTTTCGCTGTAGTGCCTTTCGATATAATTATTGTATTATAGTAATATTTTTCTGCTGGTATTGAATCTGAAATGATATTGGGATAATGTCCACTTCATAAGTCAATAAGAAAAACACTATTAAAAGCAATGTTTAGAAAATAAGCTTTTTTTAACTACATTTTAAAATGATTTGTAAAAAATATAAATGTTAAATTAATAACTTTTTTACGACTGTTATTAGATTCTTAAATAAAATATAAAATATATCAAGAATGAGATACCAGATTATAATTTCATTATACTATTTCATTTACTCAAATTTATACTTATTGTTTAATAGTAAAATGGAATCTGGAAATTTGTTATAGAGAAAGAAAAATTAATTATCTGAAGCCATTTTATTAGATTTTGATGCTTTTACAATAATATATATTATATATAAATAAGTGTAAACACACACACACACGCGCGCGCGCGCGCACTCACACATGCACTCACGCACGCACACATACACAAGGTTCTTTGTACTCCTGGTCCAAATATACAATTAGCTTCTTTTAATACAATAAATGAAGGTATCAGCAAATTTCCGTTACACAATATTATTGGTTGTATTGTGTATGAATGTATTGTTGATGATGAAAAGTGAAAAATGAAAGCGATCCTCTTAAAGCCGCAAATGATCAAACAGAAGAAATAATTTTACAAATTGAGCAATCAAAGAATGCTTCAAAACATTTACAGCGTGAAGTGTATTACATAGATTGCACGACACGTTCTTTACTCCTTGATAAAACATGATCTTCCAAAATGAATTTTCAATGGAAATCACACTTTGATCAAAATTAAAAACATTTTCAAATCCAAACTATTCGATAAGTGGTTTCACCGTTTTCAAAAAATTATCAGCTGTTTGTTTTCAGAATCTTCTGTTGTATTTTTTTAGTCATAAATTTCGTAATTTTTTTCGAAATAATTTGATTGGATTCCTTAAATCTTGATACCCAATTGTGAGATGCTTTAAGTATAGGATTTAAATTTCATATTTCTTCTTGAGTTTGTAAAACTCACCTTTGTAGATCAATATCATGAACCATGAATCCTGATTCAACAGCTGCAGTAAATTTATCATGTATAAATTTGGAGCTGTAAGATAATTTTTTTATACGATTTCCACCTGAATGTACTCGTAATTGTTCTTCCCATCATCTTAATTCGACGTTCAGATGAAATTTTTCTAAATTTATTTTGCACTGATTTTAGCGGACAGTTCCTTTTGTTTTTATTTTTTTCATTAACGTTCCAATTTCGCGAATACTCAACTGCTTGTCTTCTATAAGAACTGTCAAAGTCTTTTATAAGAACTGTCTGCGTCATCATTTGAGGATAAAAATTTAAATTATCTTCACTCGAATCCACTTTATCATTTTCAATTATTTCAGAATTATGTAACTTAAAAGATTCTTGATAATCGAAATAAGTTTCTTCTGTTATTTTCAACCTATTATAATAAAAAATGCTATCAAGCAATAATTTTTCTATGTCTTTTTTTAATTCTGTATCTGTTTCTGTTACTGATGTTTAGGCTATTGCACGTAAAAGTTTTAGTCGTAACCATAAGACCATAAAAAGCGATAAATTGACAACGAGGCAAGCAATAAGTGACTATCTTCTTGTTGATTAATCATAAGGATAAGGCGTTAATCGCATTTTTCAACGGACAAAAACTTGCGACTATGATCACGGCTTTGAGGTTATAACATTTCACTCATGTTGCTTCTGCGCAAAGAACACATCAACGCTTGACCTCAATGCAGTAGCCAATCAATTAATTTTTTTACGGTCTTATGATTATGATTACGACTTTTATGTGTAATGACCTTTTCTGACAAATGTATTGAATTTACAGATGCTAATAAAAGTTTAAACAACAAACAAATTGATAATAATTTTCAAAAATATTAAACTTTGCTTTGTATTGTAATATAAAAATAGTTTAACAAATTGCACAGATATGATTACAAAACAACTGCACTGACCGAACGTAAAACTGAATATACTTATACTGTCCATTTATTAGGATTGTAATTTAGTTTTGAGGGTTTTGCAAGAGATGACACTAATATCAGTGTTGTCGAAGACATTCCGATCGCAGCTATTGCTTCTTAATGCTTTACTATTGCTCCACTGATATTTAGTCATTTACTAATAATAGACGCGTTAAACATCGTGTTTAATGGCCATTTTAAAAATATAGTTTTTTAAAGAGTATTTTCAACATGCAATGTTTTTGTTTTTTAATCAGAAGAAAACGGCGGTTAAAAGTCATAGAATTCTGATAGAAACTTATGACAATGTTGTTCCATTAATAAAAACATATAAATATTGCTTTAGTGATTCAAAAGTGGTGATTTCAATGTTGACAACAAAGATCACTCGGGACAACCAAAAAGGCTGAAAAAGATTTCCAAGCATTATTCAATGAAAATCTAGCATAATCCATTTCAGAACTTGCCAAAGAATTATTTATCGTACAACAGTTACGGAACATTTACATGATATAGCAAAGATTCATAAAGAAGGAAAAGGTTCCACATCAATTATTATGAAATTGAAATTACGAACCGATTAAACATTTACATTTGGCTAGACAAAAAACGAAGAACTTTTTGTATCGAATTGTTACTGGAGAAAAAATGGACATATTTTGATAATCCCAAACAAAAAAAATCATATGTTAATTCAGGCTAACTAGCAACATTCACTTCGAGGCGCAATATTCACAGTTCAAAAGTATTGCTGTGTATATGGTGGGATCATGAAAGTGTTGTGTACTACGAACTGTTAAATCCGAAAGAAACTGTCACCGCTAATCGTTATGGACAACAATTATATACAAATTGAAGCAAGCATTATCAAAAACAATTAAAAATGATTTTCAATTACGAGTAAATAACATAAAGTGTTTTCATGACAATGCTTGACCTCATGTTGCAATATCAGTGAAGCAAACATTGTTAGAACTGGAAAGTCTTACTGTATCCCGCGTATTCTCCAGATATTGCTCCATATGATTTTCACTTGTTCTGATCGGTGCTCTAGAGAATACACACTTTCATAATTTCGAATATGTACGAAAATTCTGAAAATTGGATTATAACTCCAAAGAAGAATCTTTTTATCGTCATGGTATCCATTTTTTGCCAGAAAAATAGAAAAAAGTTATACAAAATGAAGGAAAATATTTTGATTAAAGCCATTCATTACTTTGTTTAAATACTTAACAAAAAATATGTATTGTAACACTTTTGAACACGCTCAAAATTACGTAATATTTAGAACACCGTAACGCAGTGAAAAATTATCGTAGATAAAAAAAAGCTTAAATTTAAAAGCTTAAAATCTCTACTTTTGGAATCTCTGTAAAGGGTCTGTCAAGGATCACAGCTTGAAATATCAATTATTGATTTTAAAAATAGAGGTTTCAACTAGGGCTGGTGATTTGCTTCGAAAGCTATGACATTCAAACTTCGATGTTT